CAGCATTGGAAGCAAACAAGTCAAGATGTTAATATTTGGGTTTTTGAGGGGTGTTTTTTGTCTCATGTAACCCAGGCTAGCCTTAAATTCACTACATAGCCAAGCATGACTTTGAACTCTTGCCTCCTGCCTCCACCTCCCAAGTACTAGGATTATAGGCAATATGCCATTGTGCCCAGCTCTTAAATTATTCCCTTTTTTATTTGTTTTTATTTTATGTGTATGAGTGTTATGCCTGCATATATGTAAATGCACCATGTGAGTGCAAAGCCCACAGAGGTCAGAAAAGGATGTTAGATCGCCTGGAACTGGAGTTATGGATGGTTGTTAGCCACCATGTGGGTGCTGAGAACCAAACCTAGGTTCTCTGCAGAAGCAGTCAGTGCTCTTAACCACTGAGCCATCTCTCCAGCCCCTTAAATTATTTCTTAGCTTAAAAAATAAAAATAAATCCAGATGTGGTGGTGCATGTCTTTAGTCCCAGCACTCAGGAGGCAGAGACAGGCAGATTTCTCTGAGTTCAAGGCCAGCTTGGTCTATACAGCGAGTTCCAGGCCAGCTGGGGCTACAGAGAGACCCTGTCTCAAAAAGACCAAAAAATTAAAAAAGTAAAAATAAATGACAAACCAGGAAAGCCACAGCAATACATACAGTGTATCAAGGGGTAATATCTCTAATCTAAAAAAACAAATTGTGTACACAATTCAAAAATAAGTAAACACTGTAATAGGATGATAAGCAAAGGACATGAACAGGCAGTTTGGCAAAAGAGAAATACAAAAATAAAGGAACGGCCAATAAAACATCTGTGTGCTGGGAACAGAATATCCAGACTACGGGGGACAGTTGCTCACATGCAGCTCATGGACTTGGTTAAAACCTGTTTCTGAGGCTCATTTAGCCATATGTCAGAGTCCCTAACAATGGTCAGTAACACAATTCCATTTCCAAACTCTATCCTATGAGAAGAAATGGACCATCTGTCTGTAAAATAGCATTTATTATGACAATCTTTTTAATAAAGAAAAATTCCGATCATAGAGAATTGGTTAAACTAGTACAGCACATTTGTGCCATGGAATATGCCACAGCTGTTAAAAAATTAGAAAAGAAAGGGACACTGTTGGTTGTGTTTAGCATGGAAAGGTGTCACAAGGTGTTATGTTTTCAGCTCAGGTTTACAGTATGTAGAGTATAATCTCATTAAAGAAATATGCAAGGTCAAGAAGGGATTAAGTTCAAGGCCAGTCTGGGCTACATGAGACCCTGACTCAAAAAAAAAAAGAAAAACTTCTTGCACACATGTGGTGTGCCTGCATACATGCAGGTGAAGCACTCATACACATAAAATAAAAATAAATAAATTCTCTGGAAGTCTCCCACTTGCTGGGAAGTCACCAACAGCACTGATGGTGAGCCTCTTGGTAAGGAATCAAGGGGAGTCAGAACTCACACTCAGAGCCCCTGACTAGGTCTGGCGCTTTCAGCCACTCGGGAGTTAGGATACATGCTAGATGGTGACAGTAGTCCCCTCTCATATGGAGCAGCCACATCATATCCATTAACTCTCTCAGATATTGCCCCCATTTCGCATATGGGGCCACTTGAGACTTAGAGAGATGGAGAAGCTGGCCCGAGATCACAAGGTGGCAGAGCCTGCTTTGTACCACATGTCTGGCTGCCGTTCTGTGCACATGGTACAGCATCATTCTTTGACCTCATGGCCTTAGCTCACCCAGGGTGATCCTGGAGAAGGAGCAGGTCCAGGGCCAAACTTTATGTTCTTCTCAAGGTTAGAGAGAGTCACCTGGGAAGGATTTAAAAGCCCTGTATCTGAGATGCCCTCCAGGCCAGTTTAACTGGGGTCGCTGAGACAGGATCCAGGGCCTGGCTTTTCAGATGATCCCATGGTATACCAAGATGGAGAACCTGAGCTGCTCAGCACATTTTAATCTTCTAGTAGCCTAGGGCTCTAGTCAAAATACAGATTCAGTTGGTCTGGGGGTTCACCAGATTCTGAATTTCCTACAGGGTTCAGAGAATGTTGCTGGTCCCCAGTCATTTGTCCCTGAAGGCAGTCTCAGGAGCTCCTTTGGTCTTTTTCTTCTCGATCCTTTACTCCCCCTGACATCAGTTCTCCTGGACCCCAGATAGCTGGAAGCCTGGGAAAAATGGAATGCCAAGCCTTTCCTGTGCTCTGCTCCTGAGAACTGAGGAGTAACACTCATGAACCCATCAGACAGGCCTACAAACACACCCAGGCAGATGCTGGGGAAGGCAAAGCCGTGGGGACCAAAGGAGGAGGCATCCTGGTGCCACCCTTATGGCCCTCAGGGAAGCCAATTGCTGCTTTGTGAGGGCTTTGAGCACAAATGTGCAAGGCTTCAGCTGGGCACAGAAGAAGGCTTCCAGGGGGAAGCACAGTGGTACCAGATGGGGGATGTGGTGCCTGCAGGGCAAAGACCCAACCACTGTTTATTCCAAACAGAAAAGACTCAATACATATGCCCAGCTGGTAGCTGGTGCTGTGTGTGGGAAGAGACTAGGAAATGTGCTAGAAGGAGCCTGACTGCACATGTCAGGAAGCACCATGGACTCAGTGGCTTTTGAACAAAGACCTGAAGGGAGTGAGTCTTGCGAATGGGGTAGGGAGATAAGAGAGGTCCTGAGATGAAATCTGAGGCCTGGAGGAGTATGGGAACAAGCTTGGGTGCTGGGAAAGGGCAGGGGGCAGCCCATAAATCTAGGTGGAGACTGGAGGATTTTTGAGGTCTCTGGGGAACAGTTAACTTCCCAGAAGTGAGAGTGGGGCTGGTGGATGAGCTCTATGTGGCAGGATCTCCCCTAACCCACCTCCTCAGGATCACATCTAAGCAGAGAGGGAAGAGTGATGTTAACTCTGATTTTAGCAGAGTTCCCTGAAGGTACACAGGTCAAGTGACCTCCCTGCCGATTGCTGACCCCAGTGAAATGCCTCTGCCTAGCTCATCTCCAATTCCATGTCTTCATGGCTACTGTAGGCCTGACATAGCTCCCAGGGGTACCCTGATCCCCTGTCCACTGACCTCCTCCCAGGAACCCTAAATGCCTCCTTGGGCTAGTCCTTAGCACCTAACCGTGGCCAAGCAGGCTTATGGCAGGACTTCTGGGAACCAGCATCTGGGAACCATGTCCCTGTCAGTCATTAGCATCCTTCAGGCCTCTGGTTGTGTCATGGCTGCCTGGTCCATGACACCATGGGCTCCTATACCCAGAAGCCAAGGTCAGATGGCTTGGGTATGAGTCAGTACACCAGAGGAATTCAGCCTCTGCCCACTCAGGAATGTCTCTGGGAGAGCTTGTCCAAGTTTTGACACTGCAACATGATGCTATCATGTACAAAGTTCACACTCAACAGCCATGCAATCAATCATGTAATGTTTAAGTAAGATTATGATTTTGCATTGGGCCACATTCATAGTTATCCTCCACTGTGCATGGCCCATGGGCCATGTGTTGAACAAGCCCATAAGTCTAAAGTAACTTTGAAAAACACTACTGGGTTTTTAACTGGTTCTTGAACTTACTAGCTTATGTACCCTAGACTGCCACATTCTTTCTTGGTGCCTCAGTTTTTTTACCTATAAAATGTGGACAGTGATACTTTACTTAGTGAGTTTTTAGGTTTTTGTGGGGTTTTTTGTTTTTTGTTTTTTGGTCTCAGGGTCTCCTTGTATCCCCAGCTAGCCCAGAACTCAGGCTGGCCCCAAACTCACAGAGATCTGCCTGCCCCTGCTGGATTAAAGTCACTACCACGCTCCGCTGGATGGCTTTTTAAGGAAGGGGAGGAGCTAAAGAAATGACTCAGTGGTTAAAAGCATGTCCTACTCTTGCAGAGGACCTGAGTTTGGTTCCCATTACCCATGTTGGACAGCTCACAACTGCTTGTAACTCCAGCTCCAGGGGTTTGCAACATCACTGACTTCCTGCAGTCACATGTGCATATCCCCCGACACACACACATACACATAGTTAAAAGTAAAATAAATCTTTTTTTAAAATGGACTGGATGCCAGGTGTGGTGGCGCACACCTTTAATCCCAGCACTCGGGAGGCAGAGGCAGGCGGATCTCTGTGAGTTCAAGGCCAGCCTGGTCTACATAGTGAGTTCCAGGACAGCTGGTGCTACAGGGAGACCCTGTCTCAAAAGACCAAGAAAAAAAAAAAAAAGGACTGGAGAGGTGGCTCAGTGCATAAGAGCTGCTTGTTGTGTGATCACAAAGACCTGAGTTCAAATCTCCAGGATCCATGTGAAAAGTTAGGCCTGGCCACATGTACCTATAACCCAAAGTGCTGTGGGGAGGATTACCAGGGTTTACTGGATGCCAGCCTAACTCTAGAATCAGTGAGAGACCCTGTCTCGAGGGAATAAAGTGGAGAGTGATAGAGCAGGATTCTCAGCATCCTCCTCTGCCTTCCACATATGTGCATACCCCACATGCCCACCCACACACGTTTTTTTAAAAATCACCTGCAAGCATTCTAGTACAGTACCTGGCACATTGCCAGCCCCTTGGGAAATGATGACTGGTTGTTATTACAGAGAGAAGAGTTTGACATGTGGGCAAGGAAAAAGGGGATGGGAACCATGGGAAGACAGCACAGCAAAGGCCCTGAACCACAACCTCCGGGAGCGTTTGTGAGGATCCTCACATTGCATATGTGAAATAAAGGACTTCCTGTGGAGGCATGTGCTTGGGGGGAGTCCTGTCACTGCCCCAGCTTCCCCTGCAGGTGCCTGTTAGAGCTCATACCTCTGTAGAGCCCATGATGGATGCAGGCTGTTTGTGAACTGATGTGCCTGGCGAGCAGCTGAGAGGCCTGGGGCATTAGCCTGCAGAACAGAACCATGGCTTGGGAGGAAGACCCTGGCAGACCAAGAGTCAGGAAGTAGGAAGCTCATGCTGGCCAGGGTCTCCAGTCCAAACTTCAGGACCCACTGATTCCTGCTCCTCCCTCAGGTCTTCACGGGAATCTTCACAGCAGAGATGACCTTCAAGATCATTGCCCTTGACCCCTACTACTACTTCCAGCAGGGCTGGAACATCTTTGACAGCATCATCGTCATCCTTAGCCTCATGGAGCTGGGCCTGTCCCGCATGGGAAACCTGTCGGTGTTGCGCTCCTTCCGCCTGGTACCTGCCTGGACCCACTGCAGAGGGGCGGGGTGGGTGGCTGGGCACACCTCCTCTGAGGTCACTACTCAGATGCCTTTGCTTTGATCTGTCATGCATTGATGATGTCAAACTATTTGTTAAGTGTCCTAGGTACCTGGCCCAGTGCTGGAAGTGTCAGGGGTGGAGGGGAACAAGACAGGAGACATCCCTCCAGAGGAACAGTTGATAATTGCAAAGCCCTTCATGCGTCCCCTTGAGTCCTAACAGGATCCAGAAGTGTAGTCAGTGTTAAAACGTCCCCATCTCACAGATGAGAGACTTAAGACTCAGAGAGAGTATGTTCCTCTAAGCCACAGGTGCAGTTAGTTCTGTGGATGGCTCACTCAGGGTTTTGCCTACAGAATCAGCATTTTGACCTTGAATGTACCTACAAGTCACCTAGGTAGGATCTTGCTAAAGTGCTGAAGCTGATTCAGTAGGTCTCAGATATTGCCAGACCTGCCAGTCTGTGGACCACATTTGGAGCTCAGAATACCTCAAGGAAGGCTTCCTGGATGAGGTCCTGGTCACTGTGGCAACACCACTGAGGGATGTAGGAGGGAATTCTGGTAGGGTAGTGAGGAAAGCCCCGGCTGTAAGCTCTAATTTTGACTCTGTTCTCATGAGCCAAGGGACTTAAACAAAGCCCTTTTCCTTTGAGAGTTAAAAGAGGGTAGTAATCATGCCAACCTTGTGTGCTCATTGGAAATAAAAGAGTAAGTGAATCCATCCTAAGCACGGGCCTGGCACATGTTCAATAAATGTTAAGCACACACTATCTTTCTCTGAGATAACTGAGAGGAAAGTTGGTAGTGATTAGATGAATCAGATGTCTTGAGGTAGCCTGAAGGATATCTGGTGGGGACAGGTCTGATAGAGGAAGGACATACTGGGCTAGGAGAATCCACTGGGCAGCCCCTGGAAAGGAGAGTGAGGCAGGTAGGAAGGTAGTGTGAAGGCAGAGACAAAGGCTGAGGTAGAGAGGTAGACTGGAGCTGTGTCCTGATTCAGACATGTGTTCAGTCTGTGCCAAGAACCGGCTGTGATTCTCTGGGAGAAACCAGTGGTGGGAGCTCCAAGACGTCCCAGGGTGTTCAAGAAGTAGCTGGGGGACAGAATGGTCTGTGGCAGCGGGAGATCAAGCCCCTTACAGAGGCACCTCTTCTCCCTACTTTCCTAGCTACGGGTCTTCAAGCTGGCCAAATCATGGCCTACCCTGAACACACTCATCAAGATCATCGGGAACTCGGTGGGGGCTTTGGGGAACCTGACGCTGGTGCTGGCCATCATTGTCTTCATCTTTGCCGTGGTGGGCATGCAGCTTTTTGGAAAGAACTACTCAGAGCTGAGGCACCGCATCAGTGACTCTGGCCTACTACCCCGTTGGCATATGATGGACTTCTTCCATGCCTTCCTCATCATCTTCCGAATCCTCTGTGGCGAGTGGATTGAGACCATGTGGGACTGCATGGAGGTGTCTGGGCAGTCATTGTGCCTGCTGGTCTTCCTACTTGTCATGGTCATTGGCAACCTTGTGGTGAGTCAATTAAGGGCATCATAATGCATACTGATCCCCACCCCATCTAGTCCATCATCCATCCATTCATTTGCCTGCATTCCTGTCTACCCAGTCACCTACCCATCTATCTAACCATCCACCTTCCTGTCAGTCTCCCATCCAGCTACCCACCCAATGATCCATCTGCTCATTCACCCGCCTTTCTGTCTACTACACTATACATCACCCACCTGTGCACACACTTACCCATCCACTTATGCACTTACCATCGCTTCATTATTCACTTGCCCATTCATTCATTCGTCCATCTCCTCATCCAATATCTACCTACCCAGCCATCTATCCACTTAATCACCCACCCACCATCCACCTCTCCATCAGACTACCCACTTACCAATCCTCCCATCCATTTATTCACTCATCCACCCAGTCATTCACTAATTTGCCACATCTACTCATTCCCTCACCTATCCATTTGTCCATCAACTTCCCATTCACACTCATGTTCATGAGCATTCATACGTCCACCCATACCTCATTCATCCCCCACTCATCCATCCAACTCTCTCATCTACCCTCCACTCACTCATACATGCCATCCATCAACCTACCTATGCATTCACTCATTGCCATTCCCATCCATCTGATGGTTTATCCATCCAGCAAGCTGTCCACCTGCTCAGTCCTTCTCCCATCCATCTTCTCACTCTTGGTTGAATTTTGCTCATTCTTTCATTTACATGCTCGTTTACATGTCCATTTGTTATTTGCTCGTTTTTAATTCATTTTGTTCATTGACTTGTCATTCATTATCAATGAATTATCACATGGTTTTCAGCTTAGAATAACACTTTCTGAGCCCCTCCTGCATGCCAAACATTGTGCCAGATACTGATGGGCGTACAGAGGGAAATATGGTCTAACCGAAGCTCTGACACTTCTTCCCAACCTGAGAGATGTGGGGAGTTTGGATAGGCCTGAAAATAACCTTCAGACTGAAATAACTGATCAGTGTCCCTCAGTAGGAGCCCATGGATGCCATTCCCTAGCAGCTAGAGAAATGAAGGAAGGTTTCCTAGAGAAAGGATTAGAGCTGTCCTAATATGCAGGGTAATGCTGAAGAGGGGGAGCAAAGCATAGGTGAAGACAGGTGACTAAGTGAAATGGGGCTAGGTAGGAGGGTGTGTGTGTGTGTGTGTGTGTGTGTGTGTGTGTGTGTGTGGGGGTGAGAGAGGGCGTCTGTGTGGCGCCCCCGCTGCGCTGGTCTTTAAAAATTCACGCACGCACGCACTCACGCACACACACCTTTTTTATGAGACAGGGTGTCACTGTGTGGCCCCAGCTGGCCTGGAACTCACTATAGACCAGGCTGGCTTCAAACTCATAGAGCTCTGCCTGCCTCTGCCTCTGCCTCTGAAGTGCTGGGATTAAAGGCATGCACCACCATACGTGTCTCAGGTAGATCATGAGAGGTCAGGTCTGTGTTCCTATGACCACCTGTCTGTCCTAGAGCGGGTACATGCACCTTGCCTTGGGCCTTACCATATGCAGAATTCTAGAGTTAAGAGAAGAGGCTTAGGAAGAGGTGAGGTTAAGGTGAATCAGTAGCTTAGGCAGAAATCAGTGTCACAGGTGCTACAAACTACCACACTCCGTAACAGGGGTCCCACACATGCCACTACAGTTCCACTGTAGTTATCATGTCTCTCATAGGCAACTCAATGTCACACCAGCACATAGGGAGGGTTTAGATCCACTTTTACAGCCTCCTGTGGGGCGAAAAGTATGGGCTGCAGATTCCAGAGCTTTTCCACAAACCTTCCTGTTTTGTTAATCCAGGTACCTTAACCAGGACAAGACAGGACCCAACAGGTTGGGGTCTATCCCCGTCAGTCCCCAGATGTAACGCTTCAGACCTAAAGCATAAGTACACAGTGTCAGAGGCCCTATCAGACCTACTGTGTAGCCCTTCAAACTAGCCACACCTTAGGGTGGAGCCTCACTTAGTCCCTTAGGCCTCAGGGGCTGCCAGACTCAGTTCCAAAAAGAAAGCAAATGTGCCCAGTACTAGCCCGCCGCTAGGCCGAGCTGCCCCTCACACAGAGCCCTGCCATTTCTGAGCGGATCTGCCTGGGGACAAGAAGATTAGAGGCTTTGGAGGAGGGAAGCTACCACCAACCCACGCTCCCACTTCAGGAACTGGGCCGCTGCTGGGGCCAGCTGTGTGGGTGGAAGCAAGCTTGCTGCTGAAATGGGAAATGATCAGACAAGGCTGGAAGCCACACGATTGACGGGGAAGCCCTGGAAGAAGACAAATTTAGGAAGCTGGAGACAGGGGAGGCCCTCAGGTCCCAAATGGGTGGACAAGGCCTTCTGTCTTGCCAGCAACCTGGACCCAGGACTCCTGGGAGTCAGGGGATAAGGAGCCAGGCATGGGAGAGGGATGTGGGGACACGGGGAGGAACCACAGTCGGTGGCAGGATCAGAAGCAGGCCATGCTTGGACCCTGAAGACATGTCCGGTCAGGTGGAAGGTCAGTATGGATTACAGTTCTGATTCATATCAAATCTCTCACCCCTGGAGAGGACATGAACGACACTGCCAGGTGCCAGAAGTAGTCACCGCCCTACAGAGTCTGCATGGAGTCAGCCATAGCCTTTGCATGATCGCCTTGGGAATGTGTGTTACTTTCTCAACCAAAAGCCTGGTCCTCCAGCCTCATCACCAAATTCATAAGACTCCTCATCCCCAGTTTTCTGGCAGATGTGGAGGCTCTAGTGAGGGCTTGAGAGAAGCAGAACTGGGGCTCAGAGGTATCTGGCCACCCTGATGATACAAGTGGCCCTTCACCTGTAGTCCCTCCTAGGGACTTGAGAGGAGATATCTGGAGCCAGGGGGTATTCACAGAGTCTGACCCTCTGTGGAATGGGTCTGCTTCCATCTTCAATTCCCTTCTATGGAGCTGGGCATCCATCCAGTATCCCTCACAACTAGACACAGCTACTTTCATGTGGCTTGACCCTACAGCTGATCTGGGGATGACTGAGGCCCCCTCCCGCCTTCCTAGTCCCTTTTCCTGCCATTGCCCCTTTGCTGGCTCTCCTGTGTCCCTCGAGGAAAGTAAAGTCAGCCTTAGGACATAGGTAGAAAGTTCTGTCAGCAGCCACAGATCCTGAGCAGGAAGCTTGCCTTGTGGGAAACTAAGGCTGGTCACTCCCCCTTCACCCACAAACACATCAGCCCTTTCAGGAGAAAGTCCTTAGAGCTGTACGTAGTTTCTGTAGGGAGCCTCTGCCTTGCTTCTGACTCCCATGGGAGTCCTGGGCCCACCCTGAACCCCTGTGTCCAGCTGTCCCATTAGTCCCCAGGCTACATGAAGAGGGAGAGCGAGACCCAAGTGTGGAGGCTGCTCGTGCCTGGCTCTTCCCAGCCTCCCTTGGGCAGGCCTCTCACTGTATCTCATTTCTATCTGTAGCTTTTCATCCTGAGCTAAGATACAAAGGACTTGAGTCTGAAAGTCCTTCATTCTGGGTGCATCTGAGTCCTTCACAAGTCAAGTTGAATTCATCTCTTTTGTAGACAAAGCTTCCATTTGTAAGAGAAAGAGAGGGGTCCATAACAGACAGCCCAGGGCCGAGTTTTGTGCCTCTGAGCTATTTGATGCAGGCAAGTCTGTGGCCCTCAGTTTCCCTTCCATGGTCTGGTAGTGCCTGGATCAACTTGACCATCTCTCCTCAACAGGTCCTGAACCTCTTCTTGGCCTTGCTGCTCAGCTCCTTCAGCGCAGACAACCTTACTGCCCCTGATGAGGACGGAGAGATGAACAACCTCCAGCTGGCCCTGGCCCGCATCCAACGGGGCCTGCGATTCGTCAAGCGGACCACCTGGGACTTCTGCTGCGGGCTCCTGCAGAGGCGGCCTAAGAAGCCGGCAGCTCTTGCTACCCACAGCCAGCTGCCCAGCTGTATTGCCGCCCCCAGCTCCCCACCACCCCCAGAGGTCGAAAAGGCACCCCCAGCCCGCAAGGAAACACGGTTTGAAGAAGACAAGCAGCCAGGCCAGGGCACCCCTGGAAACCCAGAGCCTGTGTGTGTGCCTATTGCTGTGGCTGAGTCAGACACAGATGACCAGGAAGAGGATGAAGAGAACAGCCTGGGCACTGAGGAGGAATCCAGCAAGCAGGTAAGCCCCTGTCCTGATGTTGGCAGACATCTGCTTGCACAGAGTGCATAGCATGGCTGTCCAGGGGACCGAGCACACAGCCTTAGTCAGACTGCCCAGGCAGTGGTATGGGTGGAAGAAAACAGGCCCATCCCACAACAGCTGGCCTCACAGAAGGGTGTCAAGACCAACAGTTGTCCATTCATCCGTGGCTGGTCATAGACAGCTAACTGTACAGACAGGAAAACTGCAGCATGGCTAGGCATTGTTCGTGAGACGGAGCCAGGGTCTCTGCTCTCCTCACCCCTGACCACTGCCCAGAGTCAGGACCAGCAGAGAGGAATGTCTGGGTGAGAGAAGGGTGCAGTTTCGTGACCTCTCAATCACCCGTTCCCCCCCTCCCATACCAGGGCCTAATTCTGAGATTTAAAAATAAGCATCCCTGAGACAGAGGTGTTGGAGACAGCTTTATCTTATCTCCCAACCTGTTATTTTTAACACTTGGGACCAGAGTCTGGCCAAAGCAGCTAGTACCCGCCCCTCAGGTTTCCCTTGGCCTGAGCTGGGCTCAGATGGCTGCACCTTGAGTCTCTGGGGCAAGCATACCCAGTGGTTCCCTCCATGTGGGTGGCCTGTCCTGGCCACTTCCTCAGAACTGACACTAGGTGGGCCTGGCCCAGGACAGCAGCATAGCGTTCCCTATGCTGAAATTGGGCTTGGTTCTACCTCCTCCTGCCTCAGATGGTTCCAGAAGCCAGCCTTGGCGTTTTAGTCAAGTTGTAGGGCTGTAAAGTGGCAACTGAGGAAGGGAGGGAGGGTGGGGTTACCAAGACCGTAATTCACACAGGAAATTTAAGCTCTTCCTTCTTTTCCCTTTCCTTCCTTTCCTTTCAGCCTGTTGACTAAGTCCCTAGGGCCAGGGCAAATTGTGTGTGTGTGTGTGTGCTCATTTATTCCTGTGTGTGTGTGTGTGTGTGTGTGTGTGTGTGTGTGTGTGTGTACAACCAAGCCTGGGAACTTGGGAAGTCATCATGTCCTTCTGAGTAAAGTTGGCAGTATAAAATGGGCATCGTGGCCCAGCTACACCCATTCAGGAGTTAGAGGGGGGGATTTCTGCCAGATCGGCACGGCTCTGTCTGGCTACAGGTCTTTTGCCTGTGTCTACCAGGAACCTCCCACTAACCAACCCAGGGCACCTAAGGAAAAGGTCTTTAGTGAGATGAAGGTTCATGAAGACAACAGAAGGCAGTGGGCATTGCCTAGGCAAGCTAGAGCCCTGGAGCCCCTCTACCTTGAGTGTATATATAGGCTTTGCTTATGGGCTGGGGTCTTTTCAGCAGGAATCCCAACTTGTGTCTGATGGCCAAGAGGCCCCTCAGGAGCCCAGGGCCTGGAGCCAGGTGTCAGAGACTGACTCCTCCGAGGCCGAGGCCAGTGTGTCTCAGGCAGACTGGCAGCAAGAGCGGAAAATGGAGCCCCAGGCCCCGGGGTGTGGTGAGGTAATGCTTGCTTTTGTCCCCAAAGTCAGTGGGGTACTGCTGCTGGGCTGGAGCCAGGCTATGAGAGACCCTGGCACATGCCTACATTTGCTAAGGGGAGGCCCACCCACTGTCACAAACAGCATGAGAAACCCATTGGCAGCCAGAAGGGCAGAAGGGTGGGCAGCCAATGTCTTGACCAGGAGAGGGGGTGCCTGGCCCAAGGCCACAAATAAATTCCAGAATCAGCCAGCCCAGGACTCTGAGGCAAGACTAACATAGCACTTCCGTGTGTTCACCCTCTCCTCGTGCTCCATTCCTGTGTTCTTGTGCTACTTGACAGATGGTCGTCCTGTGACTCCCCCATCCAAAGGGGACTTCGAGGAGCTCTAAGAACAGTCCTGGCCACATCCTTACAGGCTGCTTCTCCTCTTCAAAAGTTACAAATGGGAGACCCACCCAGCTTCTCAGATTTGCTGTAGCCTCAGAAAGGCTTTATTTTGAGTTAATTACCACTGACTTGAGAGGTTTTCTGTTTGAGGTTTTTGTTTTTTTTTTAAATCTACATTTTTGGCTTCTCTTTAACTTGGAAAGGTACTACCATGCTGTATACAAGTGGTAGCCATTCCCCTGCCTCTGGCTGGAGTGCTCTGGTTTGCCACAGCATCACCTGCCTGACTGCATGTGTGACCTGCCTGGCTCCTCTGTGCATCTGAGTTTGCAGCCCCCAAGACAAGATATGTGATATGGCCAACAGTGCTGCTCAGTTTCTCTCACTTCAAACATGTAGAATGTGGAGTCATATACCCATTTTCCCGCTGTCTGACCTCACCCCTCAGCCCAGCACTTGTGACTGTGGTTCTATGAGATAGGCCCTGGGAGGTTCTGCTGTCTTGGCCAGTTTTGGAGCATGAGGGCTTAGTGGAGTCATTGTCCTGACTACTGTGCAGGTCATAATCCTCTCCCTGAAACACTTAAAGTCACATGTAGGAAGATCCAGAAGAGGTGCTAAGCCGCAAGAGAGAACGTGAGATTTAGAAGGAGTTTTGCAACTTCTTTCTTTAAATCCGTTTATGGCAGGGACATAAGAGGAAAAGAGGGGTGTTCTGGACTATTCCAGCCTAAGGATGTAGCCCGGTTGGTAGAGTACTTGCCTAGCATGCGTGAAGCCCTGGTTTTGATCTTCAGCACTGCATAAACTGGGTATAGTGGCCCATGACCAGCTTCCCAGTACTTGGAAGATAGAAGCAGGAGGATTATAAGTTCAGGGTCAGCAGCAGCAGCATAGTGAGTTTGAGACCAACCTGGACTACATGAGAAATTGAAGAATGGGAAGGGGGGGAGGGAGGGATTTCCTCTTGTCTGCAGTAGGATCTTGAGAACTTGCTTTCATGTGCTGTAGACAGTTCCAACATCTGCAAGAAAAGCAATGTGAAAACTTCTTAGCCTGCCTTGTATAGCTCAGCCACAGAGCACTGGGACGACAAAGACAGAGCCCCAGCCCTCTGTCCACTGTAAGCAAGCTCTGCTTTCCCCTGGGACCCAGCCTTTTCCAATCACAAACCTCAAAAGTGGAAAATAGCACATAGAGACTTTGGCATGGTGATTCATCAGAAGGGAAAAGAAGACAGCGGGAGCCTCATAGCCAGGACCAAACATTCAGTCAAGCGCTTCCTCTCTAAGTAGAGCCTGTGCCTATGCTGGCCATGAGGGAGCCAACTGAGGTGGGAGTCAGACCAGATGGAAGCAGATGGCAGATTCCTTTCTTCACAGAAGCCCTCTCAACTCACCTGTTCCCTAGAAGCAGAGGTGCATATGGGGACTGCTGTGACACATGTGGAGAGAGTGCTCTCCAAAGAGGCCAGGAAGGGAGCAAGAGAAACAGATGAGGCAAAGGAGAAGCTACACCAAGGCCAAGGGCTCATTTGTTGGCGCAAACACCAGCTTGTGCCTGTGGGGAGCTGCAGAGTGCTGAGCTGTGCCACTATGCTGTCCCACCTTAAAGCAAGGGCTGGGCTTCTGTACGCCTGTGGTAACCACCAGCCTGGCAGATCGCTGACTCAACAGTGTTCTGGAGGAGGAGCCAGCTAAACCGCAGGTTTCACAGTGGTGGGACTGGGTACTCTACCTACCCACAGACCTCTAGCAACGTGCACCCATGTTCACAAATGACACAGACACTCATAGGCTGTTAGATATCCTAGAATCTCCCTAGAACGAAGCAAGCCATTAGTTTGTTAACAAACTTTTGCAGGGTCAGGGAGGAAAGGTTCCAGCACTTTCTCAGCTTCACTCCAGGCTCTACCCCTCCAGTTCCCCTGTGAGCTAGTTGGGAAGCATGGGCTGAGGTGCTGGTCAGTTCTCTGCATGTCTGACTTGCTGCCATGTTTGTCTGTGTCCTGGTTCTGAGTCTGTTCTGGATGTGTGTCCATGTCCCAGTGGATACCCCTGTTGTCCCCCATATCTGTCTTGTAGATGCATTCCCTGTCCTAGTGTTCTCCCAGTGCCCCTCACATTCCCACATCCCAGCCCTAAACCCAGCAGACCAGAATCTCAGACCCCAGAGCCCCGAGATGCAGCACTCATTCCACCTTGACTGGCCCTAAGTGGCTCTGTGACTGACGGGGGCCCAACTACCTCCACCTCAGATGCCCAAGGGATGCAAAGAGGGGTGATCTAGGATGGCCCCAGACTTCCCTAGACTCTAAGCTCGAGCTGGAGGCTTGTTAGCAGCCCACATTCATCCTTTGCCCTCCCTCTCCCCCACAGGTCCCTGAGGACAGTTACTCAGAGGGTAGCACAGCCGACATGACCAACACTGCGGACCTCCTGGAGCAAATCCCTGACCTCGGTGAGGATGTCAAGGATCCAGAGGACTGCTTCACTGAAGGTACTGCCTGGGCAGCTCTTGGCCTCAGACTCAGCTCTACCCAGAATGGACTAGAGGACCAGCAGCTCCTTAGTGCCTGGGCCATGCCACACCCCTTTCTGAACTGGAACCTGCCCCCTTCACCATGACCCTCTGGGCTCCCTCCCCTCCCCTGCCCGTGATATGGGTTGTGTGGCCAATCTGCCCGTGATGTAGGACTGGGCAGCAGCATTAAGGAGTAGTAACACTGTGTTTGTGATGAGGGAGGGTAACTGTAAGCCAGCTCGCCCCTGGACCACCAGGCCCTGCTCATAGTAGGCCTTCCTTAACTACCAAGGTGGATATGGCATGTGGCCATGTTGGTGACTGAAATCCACAGCTTTGATGAATGGGTGATGCTTTTGGAGGGCAGCTTCAGTTTTCCCTTCACATGCTGCTCCAGGCTGTCAGAGGGGTCTGCCCTTCAAAAGTCTCAGACACCAGGAGAGATAAGTACCCCAGGAGAACATTTTCTGAAGGGAAAGCTTCCTGATGGGCAAAGAATAGGCTGGCACCCATGCCAACCCCAGCCTTCTCCCAGCCCAAGACAGCTGGGACTCTCTACCCACAGGGAGCATCCACAGCCCTCCCTCACTGCGGTCCCTCCTGTCATGTTGCCCTGTTCACTACCCCACCATCACAACCCTTCTCTCAGTCATTCCTCCAACTAACCAGCCTCCCACCAGATATGAGTGTTCACAGGCTCTGCCACCCTCCCCCATAGGTTGTGTCCGGCGCTGCCCCTGCTGCACAGTGGACACAACGCAGGCCCCGGGGAAGGTCTGGTGGCGACTGCGCAAGACCTGCTACCGCATCGTGGAGCACAGCTGGTTTGAGACATTCATCATCTTCATGATCCTGCTCAGCAGTGGAGCACTGGTATCCCCTGGGGATGCAGAGTTGGGGGGGGAGGGCTGGGGGAGGAGGGGAGGGCAAGGAAAGGAGGTCTCCAGCTAGAACACCAGGTTAGAAACAGGGGCAGAGCCTCTGCTGAAAATGTTCCCCAGCCTCCCCCGGAGCAGCAGAGCACAGCTCACAAACTCAACACCCACAATGCACATGGAGGCCAGAGGAAAAGGGCTGGAAGAGGCCCTGGGTCCAGCCCACTTCCTTGTTCCATGAAAGGGATCTCCAGCCTTCTCACTGGAACCCATCCACCTGCCCTCAGCATCAGTCGTGGTGTGAGGCCATTAGAATACAGTCATGACTGACAAAGTAGTGCTGGCTCTCTTCATCTGTCTTCAGTCAGCCACAGGCAGATAGATCCATGGAATTCACACATTGTCACACTTTGTGCCCACATCAGCTTCAATAGAAACACCGCTGACTTGCCCAAAGATTCACCACTAAAAGCCACATCTGGCAGGTAAACCTAGGCAGTCATATTCCATAATCTACCATTGTTTTGACCTTTCATTTTTTCAGTATTTTCTAAGCTCTCCTATTTTCTTGCCCAATAAGCCACAGGAAAGCAATAGGCGAAGAGCCCACCCCTGGCCTTAGGGGATTCCACTGTAGTTGGGGAAATCAGATTCAGTGGGTTTAAGATGCCAAAGATCAGCACAAGATAGACTGGAATAGAGGATTCTGGGTAATAAGAGGTCAAGTGGAGCTGAGGCAGTTAGGGAGTACTCCTTGGAGTAAACAGAGTCTCACAGTGGAGGATGGCCAGGAGGAGCAACAAGGCCCTCCAGAGATGCCCCAATTGGTTTGCATGTACCCTGTCCTGAACTTCTAGAGCCCTTCTATGAAGAGAGGGGCCACGTTAAACATAGTTCAGGCAGGTGATGTCAAGCAGGGAGATGGGTGATCAAGAAGTCAGTTGTATTGTTGGGAACATAAGAACCCCCAGTAGGTAAGAGAAAGGGCACTTTGATCCAAAGCTGTGTGCCTCCACTCCGTACTGTCTGCTCCTGTGAGGGCAGGCTGTGGAGAGACACTGTAGCCTGTCACTTCTAAACTCTAGGCTTCCCACCCAACCCCGTCTTGCCCCTCCCTGCTTCAGAGTGGGCCTGGAGCCATGACTTGCAGCCTGCCTGCTGTTTTACCATCAGCAGCCAGAGCCAAGTCTCTGTAGGTTTCAGAGAAGAATGATTTGACAATATGTTAACAAGTTTTGTTTTTAAACAGCCACAAACAAGGGCAGTCAGAGCCATTTAGTCTGGGCTGTGCAGGAAAAATCTCAGGCTGGCATAAGTGAGGAGGAGTTTTGGCAAGTACCTGGTGAATCTAATCGGGGTAGGCAGCCAAGCCCTGTTGTTAAAAAACCATGTCGGTGATATATTGGGAAAAAGAAGTCTGAGTGTGTTATTTAAAGTTATATACTTGTTTAACAGAAAGTAAGCTATATCCCTTCCAAATTTCTGAGAGAAAAAAATTAAGAAAGCAGAGATCTTACAAGGAAAAAAGAGAAGCAGCAAGGAAGTATAAAAATCAGAAAACACAAAATAATATGGCCAAGCAAGATCAAGCATATTTTAATAATAAATATAACCTGATAAAATTCACTTTTTTAAAAAGAAGAGGACTCTGAACAGATTTTGAAAAAGTATCAACTATGTGCTATCAAAAGGCAAACCTACTGACTATGGTGGTACACACCTTTAATCCCAGCACTGACAAGGCAGGGGCATGCAGATTTCTGTAAGATCAAGGCCAGCCTGGTCTACATAATACTTTCTAGGACAGCTGGGGCTCCAGGGATACCCCCGTCCTCCCCACAAAAAGGCCTGAAACAAGGTGACTAAGAAATATTAAGCAAACAGAATTTATGTAGATTGAATTTCCTTTATCCAAAATGTTTGGATCCAGAAGTGATTCAGATCTTGGAGGTTTGTACATCTGAGAATATTTGCATAAATTGTACCAATTAGGCATCCTGAACCCAAACTCCAAAATGCTCCAAACTCTGAAACTTTTGGTGATGTGTCAGCACCCAAGAAGCTTCACTTTTTGCATTAGGGATGTATATTAGTTACTTTTCTTCTTACTATAAAAAAAATACCTCACAGAAAGCAAAATAAGGGGCTGGAGAGATGGCTCAGCGGTTAAGAAAACTGTTCTTGCAGAAGACCCAGGTTCAAATCCTAGCACCCACATGGCAGCTAACAACTGTCCATAACTCCAGTTCCAGGGGATCCGACAGCCTCTTCTGTCCTCTGCAGGCATTGCACAACATGGGTGCACTCACCTACATGGAGGCAATACACACACACACATAAAATAAAAATAATAAATAATTTTTTTTAAAAAAGCAAGCAAATTAAAGGAGGAAAAATTTATTCTGGCTTACAGTTTGAGTCAGTCTGTCCATCACGGCAGGGAAGGTAAGGTGACAGGAGTACAGGGTTGCTTACCCACATCTGAGCTGATGAGGAAGCAGAGAGATGAATACTGGTATTCATGTGATTTTTCTCTTTATTCTACCCTTTTATTGTTACCCCCTGAGGATGATGCCACCTGCTTCAGAAAGTCTTTATCCTCTGTGAATTGTCTCTAGAAACATCCTCAGAGGTGTTTCCATGGAGATTCTGGAGCCAGTCAACTTGATAATAAAGATTAACGATGATATTCAACCCATATCAGGCAAATGCAAATGTGACAACAGAAATCAGGGCATTTTCATGGTTTGTTAATATTAAATAATGTTGAATTTGAGGTACAAAGCTGAAGGTAATGAAGATCCCGACCTACAATAAGAATACTACTATTGTGAATATTGCTTGGGATTGCACAGCACCTAAGTATAAAGCAAAGACTGGGCCTGGAGAGGCAGCTCAGCGGTTAAAAGCACTGGCTGCTTTTGTAGCAGACTCAAGGTCAGTTCCCAGCCCCACATGGCAACTCACAACCATCCGTAACTCCATTTCCAGGGGATCCAATATCCTCTTCTGGCCTCCACAGACACTGCATGCACATAGTGCATATACATGCACATAAAATACAAATAAATAAGCTTTTAAAAATAGAATGTAAAGCAATGGCACTTGACTTGACCAAACCTGTATTCATTTTTGACAAATCAAGTAGGAAGAACAAGATAGTGAGAGATCTAGAAACAGTCAAAAACAACATCTAAATGATTATACAGCAGGCGCTGTTTTAAGTATTTTATAAATATTAATTTCATTTAATTCTCACTGTAACACTGTGAAATGAGCAGTACTATTAAGCCAATTTTACAGATGAAAAAAGCTGCTAGAAATATGAAAAATAAAGGTTAAGGATGCAACTCAGTGGTAGTGCACTTGCTTGGCATACACAAGCACTGGTCCAATCCCTAACACCGATAGATGATGATAGACAGGTAGGTAGATAGGTAGATAGGTGGATAGATGGATAGATAGATGGATGATAGTTGGCTGGGAGAAAACTGGAAGAGACCATGTTGAGAATACTGCATGTGGGATGCAGCCAAAGTTATAATCAGGAAAATCAGATATTTAGGTTATTTTTATCATCAAATAAAAATACAGATTAAATTTTTTTCTGTTTTTACCAGATTTTTTTCCACGGGCATTCATTGATAGTAATATGTTTTTTATCTTTGTTTTACATATATAAATAAATTTCTTGACATGGCACCATTCTGAAATTTTAGGATATACCTGTGATATATTTAATTTTTTAATTCAGTTACTGAATCCTACTTGCAAAGGACATTTTTCAAGATTTTTTTTGATAACCGATTAATTAACTCAAGAAATTAGAAATGCAAGGCCAGTGAGATGACTCAGCAGGTCAGGGCACTTGTCATACAAGTGTGGTAACTGAATTTGATCCTCAGAACCCACATAAAGGTGGAAGGAGAGAACTAACTCCACAGAGTTGTCCTCTGACCTACACACACACACACACACACACACACACACACAATAAACAAATAAATAAATATTTTAAATTAGAAATATAAGAACAAAATCTTGAGGAAGCCAAAGTGATTAATGAAATAAAAGCATAAATTAATAATAAATTAGAAAACAAATAGTGGGACTGGAGAGATTGTTCATCAGTTAAGAGCACTGGCTACTCTTCCAGAGGACCTGAGTTCAGATCCCAAAACCCACATAGTAGCTAACAGCCATTTGTCGTAACTCCAGTTACAGGGGATCCAATGCCCTCTTCCGGCTTCCAAGAGCACTGTACCCACATGGTGTGCATACAAACAGGCACGCACACACACACACACACACACACACACACACACACACACACTATAAATAATAAAAAAAAATAAATAAAATCTCTTAAAAGAAAGAAAGAAAATAGTAAATTGCCATAAAATTCCTGAACATTTAAACTAATCACATAGGTAAACCACTAGCTAATCTAATTTCCCACATGTCCCAGGATGAATTCTTTCACATTCTGAGGAAAGAATGGAAAGAAAAGAATTCCATCGCAATGTAAAACCCTCTAATATGGAGGCTGGAACCATGGCTCAGCTTTTAAAATCTCTTGCTGCTTTTGCAAAAAACCAGAGGTCAGTTCCACAGCACCCACACTGGGCAGCTCACAACTAAATATAGCTCAAGCTACAAGGGATTTGACACCTTCTTCTAGCCTCATGGGCACCTGCACACGTGTGCATATACACACAGACATGTACATAAATAAAATAAATTCTAAAGAAATTCTAATGTATGAAAAAGATCAAAAGTCTATAAATTACTTCTGTGAGAAATAAACAATGCTGATTTCAGAACCTTTAAATATACTGAAAGAAAAACATTGTATCTATTTTCATACTTCAGACTCAAGTACTTAAAATAATAATGCAAAAATTTTGAAAAATGTAAATAGGATCCAGTAATAGATTTAAAAGATTAGGTATATCACAGGTATAGTCTAAAATGTCAGAATAATGTAATGTTGGGAAA